TTTTTTATTTACTGTTGGACAATTCCATTTGACTAAATTAGTTGCATGTCTTTACATATAGGCAGTCACTATAATAGAGCTATTGTCTTGGGTTTGTATATACTTTCTTGGCTTTTGTGGTTGCTGGAAGGCAGTCTTTATATTCTGATAGAGCTAAAACAGTAGCTCTCATTTGTTTGTGCAGCTTGAAGTCCCATAACTTATTATGAATGAGCCCTTCATTTTGCGTAGGACAGTAGCCAAAGCACTGTACTGAAGTTATGAAGCATGATCCTTAGATCTTCCAGTAAGGTAATGTGTTTTTAAAGGGGAAAGTTTACCTTCATTTAAAATCCAAAACTGGGTAATTGCATGGTAGACTGGATACTAGAGCAGTGCAGTGAAATCTGCAGTGCCTTCTTGTATAGTTTTTGCCATAGGCTAACTTACATTTGTGACTGTAGATACTAAAAATTTTCTTTCCAGAGTTGCCTATGTCAAACAGGGTAGAAGAGGGCTTGGGCTAGTAATAGATTAAAATGAGGCATCATTTTGTGGTGTGGTGTTGTGGCCTTTCTGCTTTATATCCATAAGTACCATTTGACCTGGCTAAATTTGAAGTGTTAGTTTCAGTTACTGGTCCTTAGTGTGAATCAACTGGAAGGAGGATTTCTTTTTAATTATTTAAAAACAAAAAAAAGTTGATTGTAAACAATGCTAGTAAATGTTTTGGTTTTAAAAGCTTTTGTATTAAGTGTTTAATGAGAGTAGGAGGATCCTGGAAATCGACTTTTCTGCCCATTTTCATTGCTATTGGCAACTTAGTGTCACTAAAGGAAGTTCTATGGGGTCATCTCTTACTGTCTCCTTGCTGGGGAATGACAATATTTGCGTGTATGTGTGTGTATGTATGTGCATATAAATGCAGTTGCTTTATTTCAAAAGTGCTAGCTTAATGTTCTCCAATTTTGGTTGCAGTCCTTCCTGGAGGTCAGAAAATGTGACCTCACATGCTGCTGTGATAGAGTAGTTTTTTCCTTTCATATGTTAAAGTGCATGAGTGGATTAATATGTTGAAAAATTCAAAGCTAAATTGACTGCAGTACAGCATTTTCATCTGTGTAGCAGCTAATATTGGGTGATGACTTTTTCTGTTCAGTGTAACTTCTGAAGTATAGATTGGACTTGTGAGAGCAGCGCTGGCTGGCGAGTTGTACCTTTTGCAGCTGTCGGTGCACAGGTCATCTGCATCCTTCTGCCTTCCCCTGTTGCCTTTAGCTTGCTGTGGAGTCAGAGTACAAAAGGCTCTACTTCTTGTTGCAGGTCTGCTCTAGTAAAGGTGGACCTCTTCATAACTGCAAACACCCTACCCACGGGGATTGCTGGGGCTTGTTATCATGCTAATTTGCTTCTTTTTATATCTTTCCTGTTGTCTCAGCCTGGCCTGTCAGTTGTTGGTTTTGCACCACTCTTCTTTAAACACTACGTTTTGGAAACATTTGTATTTACAAGCTGCAATGCAGCACTGTTGTCTTAACATTTTGACTGACCCTAATTGCTATGACACATGTAACTAATGATGTTTTGTACTTTCAAGGAGTGCACTAAAAAGGTGATGACATATGAGTTACTGAATAAGGTACTGTGCAACTTGTGCAGTAGAGTTTGTGCAGACCTTATGTAGCATAATAAGCAGTTTTCCTGTGCTCATACTTGTTTCCCGTCAGACTGGCCTGTCTCCAGCACTGAGGCTGCATCGCACACTGAACGTTCAGAGGGAGAGAAAAGCAGAGTGCTAAACTGATCTCTCAGCTTGAAGAAGCCTAATTTGATTAGGCTTTGATTTGATTCTCATGATTTGTGGCAAATATGTCACTGTATGTGTGTGTGTACATGTGCGAGGAAACTGGAAACGGGTGTAAAATTAAAAAAAATTAAGATTTCAGATCGCCCTTCTCTTTTTGTTTACTCTTCAGCCACAATCTGATTTATGCTTATTGGAGTCTTTGAACTTCAGCTCCCTTGAAGAATCTCTAGTCTATCGCTTTTTTGATGTTGCTTGAAGGGGGATGTGTGTGTGTGTTGGTGTGCGCGCGCGGTTGCATGCGCTCGCATGCTATGGTGCTCTGGGCAATTTCACTCCAGAGCGCTTCCCTTCCTTTGTTTAACCTATGACCTGTGAAAACAAGAGTTAATCAAAAGTTCTAAGGTAGCTAAGAGGAAGGGGAAGTGTTTGGTTACAAATTAAATATGAGCAAGTCATAAGCCATAAATCTTCAGTAGTGCTACCAGTTGTGCTACTTAAGTTGCATGTGGTACAGAAAGTTTTTGGTTATAAATTCAACCTCCGTTTCGTTGGAGGGGGTGTTTAAAGGCTGCCTCGAGGATTTGCTTTTTGCAAGAAAAAATCCACATCTTTTCTTTTTTCCTTCTGGCAGAGATCTAGAAACAAATTCAGATAACTATAGTTCTTGATTTTTTAAAAAATTATTTTTTTCAACTTTAACTGGTCACAATTTAGTCTAATAAAAGCAGAACTGGTTCACTCTTGAGTAGTAAACACATGGAATAAGTGACAAAGTATTGAAGATGGCAGGATAAATTAGTTTTCTGATGTATCCAAAGCTTTCAGGATGAGAGAGATCCTGAATTCTGCAGTGACAAAGCAGTGAGGTGACAACTGAAGTGAGATTGTCTGCATAATGTATGCAATTTTGTGGTGGGTTTGTTTGTTTTATCTTGTCTTGCACTCTCTTGAGCAAGAGCTACACAGATCCCTGTGTATTGTATTGTATTGTGTTGAGGTCTGCTTCAAATACCAGCTAATTTCCTCGTCTTCAAAACTGTGAAGGTTCTCTCCTCAAAATGCAAAGTTACTCTTAAAATAAGAAAAAGAAGTGGTTATGCTGAGATGCTAAACCATTATTTGGAAATAATGGCTTAAAATAAGGAAGAGTTAGTGTTAAACAAAGGACAACAATGAAGTTCCTTATAAGATACTAGTGAGGAGAAAAGGGGAAGCCAACAAGGAGTATGCAAGTATAACAGAAATAGGGCTATACCTTCCCTTTGGTTATATGGAGGCTTTGCTGATGTTTTGACATTGTGTGAGTTTGAGACTTTATCTAGGTTATTTTTATTAGAATCATAGAAGCTATTTTCTAGGTGCTGAGCGAAAGAATTAAAATTGGATTTGGATGGAGTATTCTCATGGATGGAACCTATAGATTTGTCGTGTTTGGTGTATTGCAGTAATATAGAAAACTCCCTTGAATCTGTAGTGAGGTAAGGTTTAGCTCTGAACAAAGAGGCCCCACGACAGGACAGATAAGTAAATCTTTGAAGAAAGAACACAACCTGACCTTGGTTTCAGAGCTCAGCATTGTCCCTGTTGGGTATATGCACCACATCTTGCAAACGGTGCTGAGAACCTGGTCTGTCCTCACCCGCAGGCGCTGGGGCTCTAAATGAAGTGCAACTCTGGCAAACTAGAAGCTGAGGTAATTTGCTTTTGTTTATTGCTTTTATACTGACACATGCATTATAAACACAATAATATTTAAAAGATTCTCATTTTAATTCTGTAAATGTAGTTTTCCAGCAAGATCCCTGAGCAATCAAGTAGAACTTTAAATATACCTTCCTGAAATAAGTTTTGGTTTCATACTGTCAGGGAGCTTTCTGCCTTCTTGGTTTTCTGTCTTTTCAAACTCTTTTGATAGATGCCTTACAAGGATTTGTTTACCAGGTTCTTAATCTCTACTTAGCAGATATGTTTTGAGAGGATTTCTTGTTACTCTTGTAATGGCTTTTAACTCTGCTGAAGTTTATTTAACTAAACAGCAAGAAAGAAACTTATCTTCTAACTAATCCTTCTTGATTGTTTACAATATAATGCCAAACTTAAATGCTGTTTAAAGTGGTAATTGTCTGTCTTTCTGCTCTATTCTATTACATAGTTTGTAAAGATGCTTAGAGCATATTAATTTAAATGATAATACTGTCATATAACATGAAAAGTTAAGTTGCTTATCAGTATATTTTGATAAGCTACTTACATTTTACAGTAGCATTTGCAAGCTTCAAACAAATGTTAATGATGGAGTGCCATTCACTTTATCTGTCTCATATATAGCTTCTCACTTCATTTATTACTAAAAGCTGTACAGTTAGGAACCATGGGGCACTCAATTCTTTATAGTTGTCAGGATGTAGTCATATTTTATAAAAACTTTAAATCCTGTCTAACTATATCAAAATAGAATCCATTTGCTTCAGAAAGCATCTGTGATTAAAAGAAGAATCAGTTTGTGCGTCATGCAAACTAGCTTTTCTATTTGCTGCAGCTGAGGGGAAATTCCTTGCTAGTATTTAAAAAGGAATTGAAATGGAAATAGGGCACAAAATCATACTAAAGTATACTGTAGTGAAAAGTAACATCCTAGCTGTCTGTCTTATTTTGTGGGATGGAAATGGAATGAAAATGAAAAAGGTGGGATTTTTCTGCATATTTGGTTTACTAGGATCCTCAGCAGCTGTACAGAAAACTAGTTATTCAACATATACTTTGGGAAATAATTACAAATAAAAATGTTCCACCATACGTGAACATTAGTGTACATTTATCTTAAAATCTGATGGGAGTTTTTAACCTGTATGTTTGTTATGTACAGGGTCAGAAGGAAGGTGAACTCCCAGCACTGGCCTGGCTGATACCAAAGTTTGTTTACAGCTGGTGCTACATTTGACGTTTAGTGCCCACAGGTGGCTGGAAACACTGGGGAAGAGTAAATACTGAAGCTCAGACCTCAAAGGAAAGGGATGCTTCAACCTTCTGGCAGTGTTCTCCTTCAAATGGAAGGTCTGATGTGGCTTTCCTAACAGATATTTATAAAGTGCCGTGTCCAGCGGAGGCTGTTGTTAGGATGCGTCTATATAGTAAAGGCCAGCAATCTTGGATTTATTAACTGAGATTTAGCAAGTTAAATAAATATATGCTTTTTCTTTCTTTTTTTTTTTAGTTACCTCCCATGGTTTGAAGTCTTTTATAAGCTGCTCAATGTCTTGGCAGATTATTCAGCAAAAGGACAGGTATTACTCTGAAGTACTAACCCTTCTTTTCCCTGCCCCAATATCAAATGAGGGAGAGAGGATGAAAACAAGCTGTTTTAAGAAGTGCTTATATCAGAGATGACTGTCAGTTATTAATCTGTATGATGCAGTAATACAGAAGTTCATATTCAGCCAAGCTGAAAGCTTGGCAAGTGCCTTTGAAAAATAAGTGTGCTTTTAATTTAGTTTTGGGAAAAGATAAAATCCAAGAATGTGACTGTGGATCCCACACAAATTAATGGTTTCCCTGCAGTCACCCATACTGTGCAGACCTTTCGATTACCTGAACTGTATTCAGCACAGCCATGCAAATCCTGTATTGCAGTTTCACGAATCCTTGACAGATGTCTTACGCAAGTTTATTTGTCATGTAAAGTAAGCGGAGAACTGAGCTTACTGATGCAAAATGCTTACCCATATAGCATCATCCAGCCTAAGACCTTCAGATGCTGTTCTGCTTTTAAAGCAAACTAAGCTATTAAAATTTGCTTCTAGGTTTATAAATGATAATTCGTGATACAGAGAAATCACGTATATGATTGCAACACCTAGTCTAGTTTCATGTATTTAGAATATTACAAGTATAATCTTTGCAGTTAGGTTGCTGCTTTGATTTATTACCATTTTGTGGTAATAATTGTATTTTTGCATTTGTCAGAACCTTTCACATTTGAGGTAGAAGCACTTAGGATCACATCTTCATCTAGACAGATTAAATACATTTGGCTTTACCATAAGCTAGTGAGTTGTTATAAAGAACTTGCAGTGAAAACTGGCTTGCTCTGAGCTGAGCAACTATGTAGGGCATAGGTTGGTGACTCAGTAGATTGCAGAAATATGTAGAAATACATATGAAAAAAAATGTATTCTAAAAAAATCATGTTATAAAACCCAGCTGTCACAGGAAACTACATTTGTTTCTGTTCGTAGTCTAATGTATAAATCTATTTTTCTGTTTTTCTTTACACTTGAAAATTCTCTAAGCCCCCAATTCCACAAACATTGCCCTTCCATCTTGGAGTTTACCTTGTTACAGCAATGCCTACTTAGTATTCCTTTTTTTGGTTTTTTTTTCTCCTTCTTATTTCAGGATAGTCAAAGGAGTGAGCTCCTAGAAACATTTCATAAACTTACCATCCCTGAGCCAGGAACCTCTGTTCATCTTGGAGTGGTAAGTGAAGTGGGAGAGATGTAAACTAAGGTATTTAATTTTCATTACATATCATAACAGAGGAATGTCAAAAGCAATTCTTTTTGGAACTTGGTACACAGATGTTGTTTTCCTGTGAGGACACAGAGCTGTGAAATTCCCCTTTTCACATTTGGGGCCCTCTGCTTCCCTTTCCTTAACCTCAAATGTCTTTGAAATGCTGTTCTTTGATTGGAGGAAGATTGTGTATATTCCCCATGGAAATTTCTCACCATATCGTCTGTGACCTGCGAGAGGCCACAGAGCAGCAACATGACATTTATTGCCCACACTTCTGCAGAACTCCTAGAATCTTGCAAGTATGCAAGGGGGACAAGACTGCAAAGCAAACAGTCATGTACCTGTCATAGCAGCATTTTGAGTATTAACTGTTTATCACATTTTCTGATTCCTTTTCCTCTTCCCCCCCCAAGAAAAAAACTAATGCAAAAAAGGATTTATTTCATTTTTTTATCTTGTGAGAAATTAAGTCAAAGAACACTGAAAGAGTAGATGTGGGATTTTATTGATGGGATTGTATTTTAAATTTTGTCTTTTGGGGTTTTTGTCTTCAAATTAATTTTTGCAGAACAACCTGGTGTTCCAGGCTGTAGTGAAAAAACAGTTAAGATGCACATTGCTGCAGTTGCCAATTAGTCATTTAGAGTTCACATGGAAACCAGTGGTGTGTGCAGCCACAGTTTTCTTCTCCCTCTCATTTCCTTTACTCCTTCTTCTAAAGTACTTCTTGGCAACAAGCAGCTTACTCTCATCACTTCACCCTGTAATGTCAGTCGACAGGTAACAGTTGTTTGGCCTTGCTAGGTCACCAGCTGGCAGTGGAAATGTCCCAGTCCTCTTGAGGCTAGCTCTTTTATGAACAGCATTTCTGTTTAAGGGGACGAGCTGTCTCAAAAGGCAATGATCAGTTGGAATATTTCAGTTCTTTCATACCAGTGGTTTCAAGGAATGCTGCCGGTCTCCCCTTGTCTCAGACATTTCATGGGCGATGAAGCAAGAAAAGATATAAAAAAGCAGCCAAGGGACTGTTAGTTGTGGTGTCTTTCTGCATTTTATTTTGGCTGTTTACAAGCCTATTTTGGGGTCGGAGTGAGGTTCCTATATGTGATATAGTTGTGAATACTATTCCTGTATCTTTGCATTGCATCTTTTCAACCAAACTAAAACAGTGGTATATCAAAAAGCAAAAATTTGTGTTTATACATTTAGTGTCTATATTCAGTGTAGCCGTTACACTCACTTGCTATTTTGGGCTATAGACTGTTCATGAAGCACCAACATGTCTGATATATATATATACACACACACAGAAGAAAATTGTGCCAATTGTAGAACTATGCCAAGAATATAACAGCCCTTAAGGCTTCAGCAAGTAATTAATAAGTATCCCTAAGACAAATTGTGAAGATCATAAAAATAATATAAATTGTATATGCCATTGATTTACAAAAGCAGTTTAGTCACATTCTCTCCTTTCCTTTCCGAATGCCTTAACCAAGAATCATGGAAGTCATGCATGGTCAGATGGGGAACTAGAGTGAACCTAGTCTCTTGGAATGCAGACAATAAAAAAAATGTAACGATATAATGGATTATGAAATTGCAAGACCAATGTAGTCTTTCAAAATGTGGGGTTTTTTAAGGCATATAAAATTGACCTAGAACTTAGTAATATTTTTCACGTAAGTGGGCATAAAACTTTAGGAAGCATTTCTCAGTAAATTTCCATAACTTCACCATTGCCTTGAATGAAACTTACTGATGCTGAAAGTCAGAAAAGGACCTGCTTGCAGTTGTTTCCTGTAGTCCATCATGCAACCTGCAGTGGGCTGTGGAAAGATGGCTTGAATTATAGACTGCCTTGGAGTTTCCTTGGCATATGTCATACATTGTGTGAGTCTGTCTGTATCAGCGTCTCTGAAGAACAAAAAAATGTAATATAACTTTTCAGGAGCATTTGATACTTTCTATCCTAATGCATTTCCTATTGCATGTGTGATCTGAGAATCCAGCTTTTGAAATCCATGACAAAGAAGTCATACTGGTAGTTGGTAACAAATGTTCTGTCATTTTTACTTAGCTGAGCAACTGCTATTACTGCTGTTACTAATACCAAGCAATAAATTTAGATTGCTTTTGACAATATTGCAATAATCAATATTTGTTCTTTTTTTAGCACTCTTACTTTACTGTGCCTGACATCAGAGAGCTTCCTAGTATACCTGAAAATGTGAGTACCGTAGAGGATCATAGGCTTTACCATTTCTGCTTAATCTCAGCAGCAAAATAGATAACAGTTGTTACCTCTGTTTGGCCTAGTAATAGATTATATTCTGTAAAATATTGCTAGATGTTGAAGTGAACTTAATTTATAAGTATTGGGCAGAAAACATTGTATTGTTAACTGCAGAAGTACATGAGTAACAGGCCTTTTGAAGTACAATGTAACAGTAGAATTTACATTTGCAACTTTAATTAAGAAAAGATACCAAATTAACATGAAATTGACAGCATAATTATCTTAAACTGTAAGTTGAGATATTTATTTTAAAAATATAAAGCTTTTATTATTATCACCACATTATTACTTACTATTAACATTCCATGATTTCTTGGTTCTAGTAAGTGAGGAAATTTAAAATACACGTCTGTAGTTTTAGCCTACTCAAAATCGGGAAAGAACAGTGATTCGGTAACTGTATGTAACAGTATGGTGGCGTTTCAGAGAACAATGACGGAGTTAATTTGTGTGAAAATTCACTCACTACAACAAGCCTATGAAAAATTCTTGAAAGTAATTTCAAGGCAGTTTTGTGACTGCCATTTGAACGAGTACTACAAGAGTCATCTTTTACATAAAAATGCAGGATTACAAAAGAAAGGAATTTCATGCACTTTACTAAGACTTTAATTTGTATCAAGAGAAGACAAGAACCTGTTGAGGTATTTCACCTTCATAGCTAACTTGAATCAGAGTCTGCTTTCTTCTCCTAAGTTCCAGAGAACTGCTGATTTAAAAGAAACTTAATAATTTCACAACTAAAGAAGGAATCTTTTTCTTCTGCAACTAGATTGACATTTCGTTCTCCTCTTGCTGACCTCGCACTGTTTACATAGTTTTGTTGGTTTTCTTGACATGTGAGACCGAGTACAACATGAAACTGAAACTAAAAACTAAACTTGGGCAGTAATTGTTGGAACCTGCTTGAGAGAAAACATACTGTTTTGAAATGAATTTTATTTGAAAAAATTTTTCAATACGATATGTTCGTTTTATTTATTAAAGTGGTATGGCTACTTTTTAGTCAAGCCAAGGATATAATCTTGATAGTCAGTATCTTCAGTGGAAGAGTTTGGTGTTTGAAACATCCATATAACTAGTATTTAAGAAAGATCAAATACCACTTTGGTATTAACTTGCCTTGTTCTTTAAGGTGCTGTCAGAATTCAGGTATCGTATATCCTTCCTTGAAACATTTTGTATAGATTCAGATTCATATAGAACATATAGGGTCTTTGCTTTAAAGGTGTATTATTAGCTGTCGTTGCTCAGGCAGTCATTCTTTTCTTTGTGATAACATCTTCCTTCTGTATAATGTTTACATAATAGCATTCAAGAGTTGATGATCTGCATTTGTGATTAATAGCTGAAATGTATTATGGATAAAGTACTAATGGACAGGTTGATACGGGTAGAAAAAAGCAGATCTGCTAATCATAGAGTGAGACCCTTCTGAGAGAATGACATGAGGGACCAGTAAAAATGATCTGTTTGCTAGATGGCTTTCTGAAAATGTCAAGCATACCTGGTTTCTTTAAGGCCACTTTTTCGGAGACTTCTTAAGCCTCTTGAAGTTGTCTTGTATGTTTTTCAGCATGCCTCAGATTTCTAGCCAGATGATAGGTCTGTGGGAAGACAATGCTGACATTTGCCTCTCTTAAATACTCTTTAATATGCTCCTGCTATGTCTCTTAGCCAAATTTCTATGCCTGACATCTCAGTGTTCTTTCCTGAACATTTTGTGGTCTGCCTAGTACTATATACCTCAATTTATGGCATGAAAGAAAAGGGAATCATCAAGACATTTCATCTTGTTTGTGGATGAGTTGTATAGCAGATAACATTTGGGGCTTTTTGTTTCTGTTTTAAAACATTGTTGCTAGCTTTTCTGTGTTACAGACTTTTCATACTGACATGTATACTGTCAGTAAATTTAATAGATGTGCTCTTTTTTCTAAGGTCCTTTATTTTTGTAGAAATACGATACATTAGGAGTAATTTAAGAGTCAATTCCTGAATCTAAACCAGCTATCAAATCCGGTCATAATCCAGACATGAAATTACTTGTTTATAGAGTTTATATTTTGTGTTCATCTCTTTTATGCTAATCATCTCAAACTTTAACAATTTTTGTTTGATAAGCCTCAAATCACCCGGAGAGCAAGGAAGGAAGTTTATTTCCATTTTGCAGGCTGGCAAGTTGGAGGGCAGAGAGAAACGAGCAAGTAATGGTAAGAAACCAGTGGCAGGGATTAAAAGTAGATCGATCATCTGCCTTGGGCCTGCTTTAACTGATATGGAACAGCTTAATAACACAGTACCTAGTAAGGGCTTCAGGAAGTATAGCTGTATTTATGCTCTGTTGGTTATGTCTGCTAGTGATGTTCGCTTTATATTCAAAGGTATGAGTCAGCTTCCCAAAACATTTGAGCAGGAGACATGATGAATGCTCATGAATCAAAGGCTGTTATAAAAGCAGAGGCCTTGGGCCAGAAGGAGTTGGAAACCCTTTGAAAGCTGAACACTCAGCCTTCATGGGAGGGAGTGCCATGTGATGCTAAAAAGCATCCTCTTTGAATCATTGAGTGGTGCTGATGTGCCTCGGAGGGAATGTGACTGTTCCGATGGAGGTATCCTGTGCAGTGATGTCACTGTGAAGGATGGACTCTTCGCAGTGTCTGGGGTGAACCAGGGCACCTCTGGGAATAGCAGTGGAAGAACATTGCATTCAGTTACCAAATATGTATGCCCATATAGATATAGATATCCAAATTAAAAAAGCTAGGGCTTATTGTAAGAAAGAATAATATTAAAAATCAAACCCATAGGTCTAACTGTTATTGCAGTTGACTATCTCTCAGGCATTTTGTTTGTTTATTTTTTTCTAATGAGTATTGTGTAATTTCTTATGAGGATTTTATATGTTAGCGCAACTTTCATGTAGCATTGAAGCATATTAGGGAATAATACAAGGAGCATAAATCTTCATGGATTTTAATCAATTGGCCTGATTTATTCAAAATTCTACATATCTTATCAGTAATTACATTTTAAAACCCATATTAGCAAAAGTTTTAGTAGTGCCAAACTTTGAAGTTGTATGTAGTGATTAATGGAGAGCTGCACAGAACTCTATTTGGAATGTTAACAAACTTCTTGGAATTATTCGACTGTCAGATCACTATGTTTAATTAGTCACAAAAACATTTAGCATGAACACTTTTATTTAACAGCTAAGCATTCACTTTTTCAAAAGATTTAACTAATATGAGCGATTTGTAAATGCATTGTGACTGCAGAAATAAATTGGGTTCATTGCAGGAAATACAGTGCAAGAGTGTAAATTTCCTAGTAGTATCTGTTGTGTTTCAGAAATGCCAGGTAAGTTAGCAGTCTGAAATGATCACATGTTCTTGGTGATGACGTTCTGATGTATTTTTCTATCACTGAATCCTATATTTCAAAATGCCTGATTTTTTTGCTCTTTATAACGTGTGTCTTTTGCTACCTGTTTTTCTTAAAGTCCCCTTCCCCCCCTTTTTTTTTCCTACATTTACACCATTTGATAAAGTGTATTGTCTTCATTATTTTGTTCTCCCAAACAACAGCATGGCATTATAAAAGAGTGTTAGCTGCATACCAGATTACCTAACCCATGTTAGATTTTGAATGTGTGATATTTCAAAGAAAGCAAACTTCTAAATAAGATGAGGGATTTCCAATAGGAGGATGGAGAAGGAAACCTGACTCAATTCTGTTGACCTGTTCTGATAGGAGATTTACTGACGTCTTGAAAATGAAGCTGTTCAAGAGCAAGACTAAAAAGAGTAAACTATAATCCATGTTACTATGTTTGATTTTCACGCTTCACAGAGGAGAGAGAGCTCACTTGTTTGCTCCTTCAGTGAGAAATTCTTTGTTAGATGATGGAGGAAGAGAATTACATGAATATTTTTTAATTTCAGAAGTCAGTATGCATGTGCCTTTACTGATATTAGATAGCAAGTGATCAAATAGATGATTGATCTAGGAGTGAACTTTCCAAGGAGCATAAGGGAATTTTGTAGCACTCTTAGTGAGTTTTGAGAGGAGTGGGGATACCTGTTACCATATTTTATTTTGCAAATCCAACTTTTTATTTCCTCAAGGAAGGTTTAAATCCTAGGGAACAAAATATACAACAATTATACTGTGAATTGGAACTCTTTCATTTGTATTTATTTAACTCATTCATGGTTTTGTCACTTACGAGACATGTCTTTCAAAATACATGTGTAAGTCCCAATTTCATCTTCAAAGATGACAGCTTTCTTATAAATAAAACTTAGAGCTAACACGTGAATTTCCTTAGTATCAATACATTACCATACAGCCCACATGCTTCGCAGGTGTCATTGGCAAATTCCTGAGAGCAGAGAAGACTAAAACCTTATAATCGTTCCATCTGAAGGTACGTTTGTGTGTCAAAGCCAGTATTTCACTATAATAAACTTCATGAAGGAATAATAGCAAATCAAGTCCCTGTGTTTATTTTCCTCTCACTAGTGGATACTGTTGCCTTATAAACACATCCATGGACGTGCATATCTACATCTTCAAGCAGAATGTAGGGATTATGTTCTCTTTTTGCCATGCCCCTAATTTAGGTGGCATCAAATGGAGTTCAGTGCTACTTAAAAATTCTTTTAATTCACACTATTTGCAGTAATTGTGTCGTCATGCATGGTGTTTTGGCGTCGTGGAAAGATGGGTGAGAGGGGCAAGAAGAGCCGTAGAGAAGACAGCTTATGTTTAGACAAAAATATCATGCTAATCAGCACAGATGGGATGAGAAATACAGAAAAAGTACATGATAGTTTAATAGGTTTTTGGCAAAAATGTGTTGGCTTTTTTTTTTTTCTTTGAATATACCTGTCTGTGGCTATAGCTTTTCTGTAACAAAGACCTGAATGATTGTTGTACATTAACATGTTTGAAGCTAACCATAATGAGCATAGTTTTTATCTGTCTACATACTGGTACAAAAGTCTTCCAAATACAATGCTTAATTTTTCTTTAGTTCTTTCTGTTTAGATGGCAAGCTGTGGAACATATTTTTGCACAGTATGAAGCATCTTGGCAGACTTCTCAGGCCAAGTATTGGTGGTTTTAGAGTTATCTTTGGATCTGTCAAAAGTGCTAATAGGCTTTGTTGAGCTTCTTTAAGTTTCTAAATCATATTTGCTTTTCGCTTTTCTGCACTTTTTTATTTAATGATGATTAAGATTACACTTGAATTCATGACTAATCTAATTTTGATCTCACATGTGCTTTTTGTATAAGACTGTCTTTATCATCTAGCAACCCTTCCATATCTGTAAGAAGCTATTTGGAAACAAATTCCCTAATTCAGCAGTATTGGGTGTATTACCTTTTCCTCCTCCCCCCCCCCTTTTTTTTTTCAGTTTCTGGGTTTTAAGAAGTTTAAGAAAATCCTTTTTTGATTGCCTTGCACTGTAAAAGCCCCTCCTTCTAGGAGAACATAATATGTTTTGATCAAGTTACCTACACGGTGGCTTTCTAGTTTTGATAGTAAAAATCTTAGGATCACATTCTGCTGTTTATTAGAAGACATCTTAAATATTTAGTAAATGATACATGATTCATGCCACTGCAGCATGTGCACAGGGCAATTACATTGGTAATGATGAATGGATAATGTTGCTGGCTGATCGGATGATGTGGGGGATGAAGTGGCCATAGCCTCTTGTGCAGCTTGCTTTGTTTTCTTTTTTGTATTTCAGTTATTCACAGTAATTTTTACATAGGTACTTTTTAATATTCTGAGCAGCAAAAGCATGGAAGAAACCCGTGTTGCCTAGGAAGTGTATATGTAAAGTTTCAGTCGTGTTACTTGCCTTGTGTCTTGGTTTTTCTGTCTGTACTTTAAAGGCAGATTGCAAATGTGCTTTGCTTACAATATTCTTCTACTGCAATTAATTTTCTTTATACTGTGTAAACATACTGGCCACTGAAGTAAAATTGGATGTTTGAATCCCGCCTCTTCATCAGTGATTGGCATCCACTGAAATTTTCAGAGAGAGAGAATTCTGTCTCCTTCCTCAGTTTCCCCAGCTGCCCAAGGAAGTGCTTTCTGTCTTCCAGCACAGAAGTCAGTGTGTCTGAGTGCACAAAGTGAGCAGTTCAGACAACCTGTGTAACTTTTTTTAGTTTGTGTGTTAAATGCCCATGTGTATTTCTAATTATCAGGATTGTTCTAGCATAGACTGAGCTTACATTTGAATTTGTCATACTAGAATTGTCCTCTAAGAGAGCTGGTATTATTGTTGAGTTATGAGGGTTTTTCGGTACTTTATCAGGCAGCTTTGAAGCTTCCATAAAAGTGACAGAACGTATTTTTTCTTGGAGGAGTATCTTGTATTTAAGAAGCTGTATGTGAAATATCATCATTTTTATTATTCCAAGACCTAGCTCCCCAAAAGTTAGGGGAAAGATATTGCAATTAAAAAGTACCCTGACATAAGATGACATACTGCTTTCATTCGTTAAGCCACGTACAGGATGTAGCATAATAGGAGGATGAAATCTGGTTTTTTTTTTTGTTAAGGATGCTTGTTTTTGTAATATCATTAATCAAAAATTATTTTCTCTCTTCCCAGAGAAATCTGACAGAGTATTTTGTAGCAGTTGATGTCAACAACATGCTGCATCTCTATGCCAGTATGCTGTATGAACGCCGCATCCTCATTTGTTGTAGTAAGCTGAGCACTGTAAGTAAAATGCAGAATAATTTCTTCTATTCACAGTACTTTTTAAAAAATGACAGTCATAGATAGGAAGTGATCAGGTGATCTCCAAATCCCCCTTCCAACCTCAGCTATGCAACCTCAACTCAATTCTGTGGTTCTATGTCGTGATTTTTAAAGAACTTCTGTTGGCCTCTAATGTTCAAATGAAAAAGGATTTTTTGGATACAGGAATTCTTGGGGTTGCTTGTTACATAAATGTACAAATATTTATGCCATAGTGAAGTCCCTTTTTCATAATTTACCTGACAGGAAAAAAAGATAGCTAAATGATACTGTCAGATGGATGTTCCATGACCTTCTCTGGATGGACTGAAGGAGTGGGCTAAAATGCATTGACAAAAATCCACATTTTTGCAGTTTTGTTTGATAAGGTGTAGTCTTAATGCTACTTAGGCTTCATCAAGTGTCTGAGAGATGAAAGCTACTAGACTTTCTCTACTGCTCTAGAGTACTCACTTCTAGAAATGGCTGGACATCAAAACAAGCACACAGCCTGATTTAGTTCAAAGATTTGTGTTATGCATTTCAAGGTTTATCAGTCAATAAGATTGTGATTTTCTTTATAAAAGAAAATGTTAAGTTTTCATTCTGTTTGTTTTATAAATGGGTATTGATTGCTTTCTTTTATGAATGATGAGCATAAGATGGTTTAACTAATTTTGCTTTCTAGTGCTACGGACTAAGTACTTGAGTGGTCCTTTCTAAAATACAAGCTTCCATTTCCATTTTGTATGGTATTAACTAGTCTCTTAATGTATGATTGTGACCTAGTTTGTGTTTGAGATTAAAATTGGTTCATGGAATTGTAAACACTATGGAAAGCTGAAATTATGTGCATAAAATCATGTGAGGATGTTTTTTTTCATTCTAAAATGAAAAAGAGTAAGACTTCATACTTAGTCTCAGAACAACTATTACAATATTATTTTGAAAGGTAAGTGAAACTAGGAGAGTTAGAATAATCTCTGGGACCTGTTAATAATTACGAAATGTTTACAATCAATCCCACATTTAACTGAAAGAATGTAAGTATTATAAAGTTTAATATCATAGAAAACTTGTAAAATCTTAACTTTTATATCTGCCAAGTGTTCTATGTTCTCCCTACTAAAGTAAGGATAAATACATCCAGGCCTGGTAACTGAATAAAATGAAAGAGAGAAGTGTTTATTTTAGAAACCTAAAGAATGAAAAGAATAGTAAATTATCAGAGAGGAGGAAAGAAGAGAATGGCTATCCAAAGCATTTCAAAATTTGTGTGGTTGGTGGTTGGTTTAATCTCTGCCTTTGTGACAGAGCCTGGGAAGAATTACTTACCTGTCACTTTGCCTTCCTTAATGAGCCATTTCACAAGTAGGGTTGTGTTTTCTTGCCTATCTTTCTGCTATTTCTCTTCCTTTTGCCTCTGTCCAAGATAAAAGCATGTCTGGTTCTTCGGTAGGGAGGGGTATTCATACTGTGTGTTCTTATCTTACAACTTTATATATAAACTGCTCCAAGATTGGAGTGACAGTGTAAGACAGGTTTGAAGAGTTGGGCCAGAGCCAGTGATTCCTTGCCTGCACGCTCTGCTCTGCATGTTCCAGCAGTAGGAACAAGCTGCATTATTTTATTTCAAACTGTGCTCAGCGGAAGCCAAGACCTTGTAACTGGAAACGTACCAAACTGAGAATTCTCAAAGTAAATTGAGGGTGGTGTGGTGGTGAGAGGGATTGGTTTCTTTGTTTTTATTTTTTGGTTTTTTAACAAAAAAGTGGAAGGGACCTATTTGCAGTTAATTTCTTTTAACTCTGAGAGACGTGGCACACTTCATACTTAAGGCTTTATTTTAATACCAGGTAAGAGAGAGAAAATTAAACAGGCCTGGATAGAAAGTCTTTTATGGTGGAATGAATTCTGTGCTATAATACATCATATCAAATTCAAATTTTGATTTGAAATATCCTTAATATAGTGAAGTTGAATAAGATATAGAGGTAACTGAATGAGGCTGTGTTTATTACCTATTTTATAAACCATATGTACTGAACCTATGGAAGAATTATTGCTGTTTTCTTGGATGTTTTTCTTTTTTTCCTACAAAAGAAAACTCAGATAATTTCTCAAAATGTTAAAGCCATTATTTGTGTTAAATTTCATTACATATTCTGTGATCTAACTACTCATGAAAAGCCAGATATGAACCAAAATGCATAAAACACCCTGTGCTTGGCAAAAGACCACCTGCTGGTGGGAGCATTCTGTTGCAAAAATGAAACAAGAGCTTTCCTTGCAGTATTCTCTCTTCCATCATAACTTGCTCATGCAGCCCTGCCGCAACAAGGTATGTTAACTATTTGTGATAAGGGCAGCAGCAGGTTGTCTCTCATTATAAAAAGGTGGCTTACACGAAGCCCGATGACTCTTAAAAGACTTAAACTTGTGAATTTCCGTGATGTGTCTGTTTGGCTCCATCATACTGAGGTGAATTTCTTTACGTAATTTTTCTGTTATTTTTTAAGTGTTAGTACAAAGCAAAAAATACCATTCTGACATGGATACTCTTTAGTTCCTGGGAGGTGAGAGCTTGTCGTGTCACTTCTTCCATGCCACCGAAAGCTCTGATACACAACCTCTTATTCCCTGGTTGGTCTCTGGCATGCCTCAGGTCTCTGAGGATAAGGAAATGGTGGTCCTTAGGAAAAGACAACATATGATTAATGCCATTCACCAAATTCCTTGTGATGCAACATAGCTAAGAGCTTGCACAGTTCTTGTTCTGCAGCAGTCTTACAACTACTGTTTTAAATGTACGAGCTCCTCCTTCCCAAGAGCTCTGTTGCTGTCCTTATAACCTGCCAGTATAGGTCTTGACCTTCATACATAGCCTTTGCAACAGCCCTGCTTTCACTGCTTAATTCTTATGTAGCGCGGTCTTAAGCTTTCTAGTTTGTTTTTAGCCCTGAGTAATGCAGAAAAATGATCTTACAAACACGCAGAAGGTGCTCATTTTTTTCCAGTATATATTGCACATTTGTACCCATGTACTGCATTTGTAAAACTGTGCAGTGTATATGCATCAGGAGAGAGAGAGAGAGTAAAATGCACTGGAAAATGGGCTATTGTAATTCAACATCCGTTTATAACTTTTATATGTGTGACAAAATCCTATTGATTTAATTTGCTCAAATAAGGCTTTTAGAGTATTAAATATAAAACTGCGAAAAGTGAATTAGTGAATCAGTGTCTTTCTTACATAGCTATCTTTTTACATTCTCTAGCAACAGCTGCAGGAAGCTGAGGTAGTGGAACTAATCTTATTTCAAAATGCTGGATTCCTATAGTTTTGACAGTTGGGCATTTCTCAGGCTGCCTTATTATTAAGTGCTTGTTTTCTGTATGGCAATCACTAATCAGGTGAGGTCTCCAGCAAATATGCTATTTCTTTTTTATGAGCCCTTATCTTGGCAGAGTTGAAGGACAGTAGTGGTGCTTACCCATGGTAGTATGTTATTTGAATTCATGCCAGATAGCAAGGTGGGAGTACATCTCAAAAATAAGTGACAGGTTCTGCTCAGATGTCTGCAGTGTTGAGCATTATGTCTGTTTAATCTTTTCTTGCTGAGTTTTAAAACCAATGGAAGGGGATACTTGGAAGGGGCCTCCTTGGATTACTGAGTTCACTCCTCTACAGCGGCAACCATGTTATATAATAATTCCAGGAAATAATCTATTTGATCCTTATAGAAGCAATTTTAAAGTAAGAATTAAATTTTTAAACAGTATTTTTTCCAGACATCTTTTTGATTTGGAGAACAGAAACAGAAAATGTAAAGGATTTAGGAATATAGAGGAAAAACTACAGTGGGAAAGCATGCCCTTTTTTTCTGCTGCATAGTTTGGATCTAGGCTATGCCTTTCATCTAATCTGTGAGAGAGGAGCATCTTCTCCAGTAGGAATAATATAAAGATAAGTTGAAATATAATGGGGTAGGGATAAGTCTTTAGTGTTTCGTGAGTCATAAATACAGAATAAATTCAAGATTTTGTAGCTTCTAACTTTTGCTTTAGTGTCTCAACATACTAGTGTTTTCATCCTATATGGACCATAAAATAATGTTCACCTGCTAATAAAGAGCTTTCTTATTGAGAAAGACTGAATGGGTGCTTGTTCAGATACTTGCTGTAGCCTGTCTGCTTCCAAAGACACTATTTCCTTAGGATGGTGGTTCAAATCTAGTTTAAATTCCTGTATATTTTCACTTATGGAAACACATTATCAGCACTGGGATGCTTTTGAGCTTTGTGGACCCTCTTGCTATGACACTTGCCGAATCAAGCAGTGCTAAGGTGAGGAGTGACTGTGTAGCTTTCATGGGAGACGGTAGTGAAAATCTAAGGTATATCAGAAGAGGGTCAGACAAGACTGTGCCTCCAGATTTTATCAATATTTCTTGAGAGAGTTTAATGAAATTGTGGAGATACTGAAGTGGATATTAAGATGAATAGAGATGAAACAGTACTGTTTGTGAGATGAGTGTCACCAATTCAAGAAAATTTTTGGCCAAGTTATCTATGGTTCAATATGGTAGAGAATTGGTAAAGAATGTAGGCCAAGAGATGGACATAATAGACAAGACAAAAACCAGGGATGCAAACGGATTTTGTTTGCAGTCCTAGTAAGTGGGACAACTGTACAGCAGTGAGCAACTTTCTGTCTGGAGAAGCTTCATTGCTGCAACCAAAATGCAGCTGCTGAAGTCTGAAGAAAGTAAGATCAAAATAGATTCTGGAAAAAGAAACACAAGAAGAGATGTGAATCTGAAGAATAAGATCTGATTTTAGAAATTTATACTTGGAGTTGAAAGTTGGGTGTGATAGCATTCTTCCTTCAAGAAACTACAGTTCTTTGAGCTATATTTGTATGAAAAAACTTGAAACCTGTCACAATGAGGATTAGAACTAGTGAATGTGTAAACAAAAGCTACTGACCTTTGCAGAAGAAATCCATGCCTCAAATCTTAAAAATCTAGGTAAGATTGAACAGTATTGAATTCTTCAAAGCTATTGAAGAAATTTTCATGGTATAGGAGAGTTTGATCCTCCTGAGGGTAAACAACTGGCTAAAAGGTTGAGGGAAAAAGGGTGAGAAAAATTATCAGTTTTCATAATCCTGGAAGTTGCTAAGCAGTCCCAACAGTGCTCTGTTCTGGAACCTGTTCAATGTCCTTGTGCAAAACAATTTTTAAAAAGGGAAGAAAATGTTGTAGCAGTCATTTTGTTGTATAGCATGGATAAATATAAAATAATGCTTATGGGAGAAAACACTTCTAACCCTGTAAGCAATCATGGTCCGAATAACTGAAGTAATTGTTACCACTCAGAAAGACATACTGGAGTTTTTTTGAAAAAGAGAGAGATCAATCTATGAAAATGCCAGCTTATTACTCAGTTGAAGTCTTAGAAGCCAAGAAATTATTATGAAGGGAGTAGAGAATAAAAAAGAGGGCATAACGCCACTAGATATGTTCATGGCTTGCCCACATTGTGAATATCACATGAGTACTTGTCTACTCCAAATAAAAAAAGATAAAGTAAAACAGTGAAAAGTACAGAGAAGGATAACAAGAACAAGCAAATATGCAAAATATGTCCCAGTTAGGGAAAGCAGAGTAGATTAGAGCTCTTCACTCAGCCTGGTAAAGATACTGAGGAGGTAGGGAACTTGATAGAAATACAGAAAATCAAGTATGGCCCTTAGAAGATAAGCAGGAGATTATTTTTTTATTTATTGTATTAAAATGCTCAAAACTCAGAGCACACTTTAAAACTGTGAGGGAACAGGCTCAAAATGAAGAGATGGGGCAGCACTTTTTAATGTATTTATTTGAATTCATTGGCACATGAAGTGTGAGCTGCAAGCTGGTGGGGACTGAGAAAATGGGAAATACCAATTTTATTGATGAATGTGTTGATCAGTGGTTTTACTAATTTGTGTTGACCACTGTTGGACAGAATACTGGGAGACAAGGGATTTTTGATCTGGCTTACTAGGCCGTTCTTTTTCTTAGATTTTCCTTGATTAGGTGATAGGGATGATTTGAACTCAAAAACATTATTAAAGAGACAGATTATTCATGTGTTTTAGCCACAATAACACCATCTCACAACTAGGTACAAGGTATAGCTAAAAATTCTGACTTTTCAAGGTGAGGGGTTTTATGTCAGAAATTTTTATTATTAATGTCCTGTATGAGTTTACAGCCAGCATACTGGGTCTTAGGTTCTAAATGATTTTTAAAAATCTGTGTCTATTTTGAGCTGTAAACTGCAAAGCGTATTTCAGTTCATCTTTATAGTCGCTTTTCTGCTTTTGAAAAACACCTGAATGCAAAGCTCATACCTCACCGTGGTTCTTATCTAAACCACACTGCAGAGAAGCACAGTAATTCTCCCCAAAAATCCGTGTTCCTTGGTGCGTTCTCATTGCTTATCCAGATCTGTATTGTTCAGAGGCTTAAAAAAACCCACATAAAATATGTGCCTGTCTTCCATCTTCTTGCCTGATGACCTGCATTTTAATCAGAAAATCAGGTTCTGTTACTTACAGAAACTGCATTGGAATTACATAAAGGCTTTGGCATTGAACATAAGCCAAACTACATCCAGAGTTGTAGCTGATTTTTCCTGAAATGGAGCCTTAAGAGACTGTATTAACTCATCTAGACCATTTTCTTTACCAGTCATGGGTTCCTTATGACGAGGTATATAATTCAGTAGTCTGTCTTAATGGAAATTAATAATAATGAGGGTCATCCATTTTTTTTTAAGGTTACACCACATCTAACTGAATTAGGATTAATGTCATGATTTGTCTTTGCTTAGTTTTATCTTGCACAACTTCAGGCCACCACAAGGACCTCAGTCCTTTAGAATTTGTCTTTTCGGTATTTGTAAGCAGTGTTCTCCCTCCTTCCTGTTGTCCAGACAAGCGTTATATGCTTGAATTCATCGTACCTTCAAATAACTGTAGGCTTTTTTTGAGTATTGTTTTCAAAATGTGTCTCACAAGCGAAACACATTGTAGTACTTGTGCTGGGTATCATTTGAGATTAAAAGACACTCTAAATGGAAAAACACTGTCAGGGTGGATGTGATTGCCTGTCACCTCTTAGTCTTTTCCTTGTATGTGTCTATTTGTACAAGTGTTCCGATTTATTTATTTATTTATTTTCTTTTTTCCCAGGTGTGTGTGTGTTTCATGTCTTCTTCTTATGGTGTTTTGACTATAGCTTTTGTTGCGATTTCCTTATTGAGGATTACCACCTTCTCCGTTTTAATATCCTTAGTGAATGTGACAAATATCCTGCTTATCTTCTTTTCCAAATTATTAATTATCATTTGAAATAGGATTGAGAGACCTAATTTCCTTCAAAGCTCTGTGAGGATTCTCCCCACAGCTTGACTGGCACTTGTGTTTGCTATTTGTGATCTTTTTCATTCAGTACCTGCCAACATCAAAACTGTTCTGAATTAGATTTTAAAAATATAACTGAGAAACTCAATGGATCAAATGGTTTGGTGAAGGGCAATTAGATAAAAATGCCTTTTACATAATAAAAATTTAATAACTGAGTTTAGTATGCTATATCCTTAAGAAACGTATGCCACTCACATTGTATCTTCCTGACCTCAAATATTTTTTCACTTTGTGTTATAATTTCAATGCAGTTTTATGATATTTAATGGATGGTAATTACCAGGATTGGGGGATTTGCCTTTACTATTTTTTATTTCCCTTTGTGTTTTCATTTCCATGTTTCTGTTGCTTTATATAACTCTGGGTGTTCTTTTCAGGTTTTGTTAGTCAAATGAATCATGTTCTCAGCTGTTTACAAAGTCAGTCAAATGACAACTACCATAAACCAGTCACGCTTCACCCACCAATACCCTTTTTTTTTTCCCAACAAGAGCACTGTATATTTTGTAATAAAGCATGTTGATATGAAAGCAGAATTGATTCTTTACATTTTTTCTTCTAACTTTACCTTTTTAAGCTTGGTTTTTGTCTTATTTATGATCTTGTTTTAATACGTGTTTTTCAGTTAACTGCCTGCATTCATGGGTCTGCAGCTATGCTCTACCCGATGTTCTGGCAGCATGTTTACATTCCTGTTCTGCCCCCACATCTATTGGACTACTGTTGGTAAGGCTATATATGTGTGTGTATGTATATATATTATATATATGTATATATATATCACTTAGATTCACAACAGTTTTCACATTTCTGTATGGTAAGTCTTAAGTCCTCTTATGATGCAACTGTTACTCTAAAAATATATAGGCATGTTAACGAAGCAACCAACCTAGTAAGTAAAAAAAAATTATTTTCATGGCAAGATATAATTGTCTATTGGTATGTTGACTCTAATATGAGTGTTACTATGGAATGCTGCAACTTAGATACTGTGTAATTAAAATCTGTTTTCAGCATATCTGTGTTAAATGTTCAAATTTGAATTAGGACTCCAACAGCGGAAGATACAGTGGAGAAGATCCTCTCATTTTTCTGCTTTCCTGAACTTCTGTTGGGGGTGGGGGAAAGCTGTTTATTTTCCTGCAGTGATCTTTTATTATCAACATGTGTTTAGAACATGATATTTACCTTCTTTAGGGAAATTAATATAAACCTTTCAAAAACTTGTTCATTGTCATGATGTGACAAATTTTGGCACAGCCTGTAAGCAACCTCATATAATGTCAAAGCTGGCCTGGTTTTGACCAGGAGCTTCGACCAGTTGCCCTCCTGAGGTTCCTTCCAACCTATTCTATGATTCCACACTGTCCAGGTGGCCTAAGAAGCCTCCTTACTCACTGTTGGGGTCTGCACATTAGCACATCATTAGGCACATGTCTTGTACTCCGTGGTTAGTAGTTCAGAAGCCTGTCTACAGTGCTCCTCAAATAGTCTCTCAGTTTTTAATTTCTTTTCTAGCGCAAAGTCAGACAGTTTAGCTTAAGCAGCCATAACATCATCTCTCCTGTTTGCTGTGCACAGGAATGGTGGATGAGCACTCTGAGTAATTAACAAAGAGGAAGTTTAAGATGCTGCTGCTTTTAGTTGCTCAGCTGTTAGGTACTGCTTCCTATGCTCAGTTTGTGTGACTTGCCCCCCCCCCCCCTTTTTTTTTTTTTTTTTCTTGTTTGTTTTT